CCATAAATCATAGTAATAATAAGAGGAGCACCATTATACATGCCTTTAACAGTGATACTTTGAGAAAAAGAATAATAAAATGAGATATTCAATCCTTTTTTCCATAGGAAGCAAATTCTTCCATTGGAAGCAAAGTCATAGTTAGAAATAACATTTCAACTCCCAAATTTATTTTTAAATAAATCCTCAGATTTTTCAGCTTTAACTCGAGTCTCCATTAAGCAAAGAGCATAAACTTTAAAATGATTAGCCCTATGCAGAACGTTTTCTTATTTTTGAGGATTGTTTAATCCTTTGACATTCCAGAAACAAATTATCATTGGGACGGAGAGTCTGTAACACCCCCTTTTACACTATCTGAGATACTTGTTGCCTTATCTAAATGCTCATTATTTTTTTATTTGAGCTCGTTGATCAAGTTTGCAACACCACCAGCAGCAGACCGAGCTTTTCTTTCTTGACCTTCATTGGAATGAGAATTCTCATCTATTGTATTGAGAACTTCAAATCTATTTGCTGAGCCTTTTAGAGTAACTTTAGATTTAACCTTTAAAGGCCTTTCTCTACCTCGTTTAGGGATAATATGTACTTCATTTCCATTATCTATAGATATAACTTGAGCAGGAGAAGATTGGTCCCCTTCCACAGAAGTTTCAAAATGAGTCGAGGGATTGATAATAACATTACTTCCATCAAAAGAATAATTGATTATAGGGACATAAGGTTCTCCCTTGGAAGAAAGATCAATAGGGTCAGGAGAAGAACATACTTTTGCTTTTCCAGGATCTTTAGCTTTTGGGATAGTCTCATCCTTAGTGATAGTTGCAGCTGACAGTGGATCATGCAGGACTTCAATACCTCCATAGGAATTGATGTCTGAAGTAGAGTTCAAACCACCCTTTTTTACCCATATTTGTGAAGTAGTAGGGGATGTAGACGATTTAACCAGGCATTCTTTTTCAGAATGACCAAAAGTAATGCATTTTATATAGAAGTTAGGGAACCAAGGAACTTTAACATAAATCGAAGTGGTTTGACCATTTGCAAGAACTGTATCAACAGAAATAGGGATTTCCTTATTAGCACCTATCTCAATACAGATTTTAGTATATTCTAGTCTTGATTTTGAAGCAGTGATAGAGTCCATAGATAAGGGAACTTCTATAGCGCTAGCAATATAACTTAGTCTTTCATGCAAGAATAATTCAAGACACACATTAAAGAGATGAACCCAGATAGGTATTCGTGATAAATCAAAATCGAGCCTTTTTAAGGTAGGTTCCCATGTTTTGAGAATTAATGGTTTATTGAGGATGTGCCAGGGACCATTTTCGAGAACCCAATCTCTAACAGAATCAGTATTGAAGGAAAAGATATAGAGATTGTTTCCTGCATGACTAACCTGGACACGAGCCCCTTTCGAAAGTTGATTCCACAAATTCTCAACAATTCTTTGAATTATGATAAAATTTGGAGCAGCCCCTAGGAACTGACCCACTAGTGAGGATTTCAATTTGGCAATTCCAGCTTCAAAGACCTCGAGGGGAGGTTGAACAATCAGAGTCTTTTCTCACGATTTTGGGGGATAATAGATTAACTCCTACCCAGCTTGACACCTAAACAGTTTCCTCCAATCCATTGAGCAATGAAGTAGGCAGTAAAGAAAGTAGAACAAAGAACAAACGATTGGAAATGATTAATCAAAGTCACCGGAGGCGCGACGAGATTCTCAGTTTTCATTAGCCCTGCTAACGTGCGTCTACAGAAAACCGTAAACGTGTGCCTAGAGAAAATCGTAAACGTGCGCCATGTTTTTTTTTCTTGTTTCTTCTTCGTTTTCTTTTGTGTAAGTGCTTCATTTGCAAGATTCTACAAGAGAGGAAATGAAGAATAAGAGGAATAAGAAGAATACAAAGATGGATGAAGAAAAAGAGAAGCCTGACATGTTTACATCATCCTCTTTTAATGAAAAACAACTTTTAAAATAGTTTAGGATCTAATTACTATCCTAGTCCTCCTCATTTCAACCTCACTTCAAAAATAAACTTTTTAAGCCTTAATGGGCTCAAGCACAAACCAAAACAAGCTATCTTTTAGCCTACCACTCGTAATGAGTTTATTGGTCTATTTATAACTCACTCGAGTTTTACCCGATACTACCAACCCGTAAATCAGGGTGTTACTCTACAAATAATATAATATATTGTTAAGGATAATCTATTACTAATTGAATTTCATACTTAGTTTACATTGTTTTTATTAAATTATTATTTAAAAATATTTTTTTTTTAATATTTATTAAAAACTTAAAAAAAATTATCAAATAATGTCAAAATTGATAAAATAAAATTATTCAATCAAAAATAAATTAGAAAATAAATAATTAAAATTAATATAAAAATTAAGGACCCATTTGGTGTTGCTTTACAAAATCACTTTTAGCGAAAAAGTCCGTTTTGACCATAAAATCAATGTCAAATGGGTAAAAATATGTAAAAAAATATTATAGTGAAAACTTTGTTTCAAATCAACTGCAAAAGTTAGGATTTTTAGCTTTTTCATTTTTAACTTTACGTTTGGAAGCAAATTAAAGTTTTACCCTTGTTAAAGCATGGACTCCCTCAATTGTGTGTTTACATTTTATTTTAATAATTTAGTTCTAACACCCTTAAAAAATAATTTATCACTTAATAATTTATTTTAATTACTTAAAAGTAAATAAATTTATGGTTTATGTATTAAAATATTAATAGTCAGTTATTATAAAATATATTTTTGTTATAATTATATTTTTATTTCTATTTTACTACTTTAAATTGATATGTTTGATATATAAGTGTAAATATAATTTAAATATTATATTTTTAATTTATAACATAATGTCTATAATGAACATTTTATCTTTTTAAACTTACTTTTTAACACCAATCCCAAATAGTTAAACTTTAAACTATACTTTTGTACAACATTTTTTAAAAGTTCGTTTCTATATCACTTTTAAAAGTCACTTTTCAAAAGTTATACCAAACTGGTCCTAAATTCAAATTGATCAATTGAAAAATCTAAAAACTTCAGTCGTAGTGTACCAATTTAAAACATTAAAAAATATGTTGAGGTGGCTTCTTCTTAAATAGAAATAGCTAATTTTATTAAAAAAATAAAAATATTTAAAATTATAATAGAGGTTTACAATAAAAAATCATAAATTAAACATATAATTGATATATTTGCCTATAATCATTAAGAAACTAACCATTGAGGATTATATAAAACCATATAAGGACAACTTAAAACTTCATCCAAAAAATTCGAACCAAAGGTAGATACAAACAGATTTGACTGTTACGATAAACGAGCCACAACCTGAGATTAAACTATTAAAAGATCGCCGACAAAACACTTATAAGAGTCTATCATTATGAGATAACTATCTATAATAGCATGTTACATATTCAAATCCAAATTCGAGGGTGCAATCAAGGAAGAACAACGAAATAACAAATGAGTGTTATCTTGATCAATTCGACGATGTCAAAATCCAACCCTGACAAAAGTAAATGATAAATGATTGAAAACAATAACAAATATGTCAAAAGGCGGAAAAATGAGCTATAAAAGCAGAGAAAATTGTACCATAAAAATAAAGTTATTAGAAATAAAAAAACGCAAATATATTTGATTAAAAATGCTAACAGTGACAATTAGCAACAAAATTGATGTCGCCACCTAATAACAAAGAAAAAAATGAGGGAAAAATGATTAAACGACGGGTAGAGAAAACAAAGATGCAAGCGCTAGGGTTTAGAAACCCATTATATGTTTAGGCAACTTGCATTGGATTTTATGGTCTTTATATTTGTACTTTATTAATTTATTTTACGATGATTTTAATGTATTTTATATTTATATAAAATCTGATATTTTAATGATTTGTATAATACATTTTTGTTATTTTCTAATATTATATTTACATGGTGTTTATTTATAGGAATATAAATATCATAACTATTGTACTCGTTAAAGAGTTATTAGCACGAAATTATCTTCATGCCTTAAAATCATAGGAGGATCTTAGAATATCTATTATATCCTAGAATTTTGGAAAATATAGAGAGGACATCTTTAAAAAAAAGACCTCGATTGCCTAACATCCTTCAGAAAGTTGTAACTAACTAATATAACCTCTAGTAGATTCATGAGATCTATCAGAGTCAAAATTTTCATCATTTTACTGTATCCGCTTATCTGTTAACCTACAAATAGTTATTATAACCCTATCACTGACATACATACTAATGAGTCCATATATAACCTCTCGAGCAGGATTGAGAGACTAGTGGGACCTCTCTGAAATCACCTCATCTATGGTTTTTGGTCTATCTCTTTATGAAAATAGACTTCTTGAGATCGATCAACTGTTGATCTTCCATTAAGTACGACTCTTTGTTCAAATCATAAGGGATGTAGCACTAATAGCCGTCACCATCCATTTGGTCCCATCACCAAGTAATGCGATAAACGTGGAACACCATCTATCATAAAATAATCAACACCACCTTCCAAAAACATTCCCTGATACACTTTGTTACATAAGGGCAACACCTACAAATTTGCTCTACAGGGTTCGCATACAAGGGCGAAGGTTTCTGGAAAAGCGAAGGGAATGAACGCACACGCCTTGCTTACCTGTGTTGCCCCCTTCGAGTTTTGAAAATTTGGCGTCCTCTGATCACAAATTCTATTAAATTGTTTTGGATAGAATAATAACAAAACCAGCGCATGCATCACACTAGGGCTGTCAAATCAGGTAATCGGACATGTTTCAATCGAATCTTAACAAGTCGGGTAAAATCGGGTACAGGTCAACTCAGGTTGATTTGACATTAGATCCAGATCGGATTCAGGTTAGGTCAAACCAGTTCGAGTTATTTTCAGGTTGATTTGACATCAGATCCAGATCGGGTTCAGGTCGGGTCATTTTCAGTTCGGATCGATGTCAGTTCAGGTAAAAACAGTTCAGGTCCGAAGCAGATAAAGACCAGGTTAATTCAGGTTCAGGTGGACTTCAGTCGGATCTAGTTCAGATCAGGTCACATCATTGACAGATAAAATTCAGGTCGGATGTTTATCGGATACAGACTGAGTTCAGGTCGGGTCGTTTTTATTTTTTAGATTAATTATTTTGTCATCTTTCGTGATTGTTGAATTGCAAGTTGTAATTGTACATGATTTCGAGTAAATTAAGAGAAAAATAAATATTCATGGATCAATTTTGTAAAAAATATAAATTTAATGACAAAATTGAAGAATTGTAAAATTACAAATAAAATCTTAAAATATAAATTAAACAACACACATAGGTAAGGGACTAAATCGAAATAAATTTAAAATGAGAGGTTTAAATTAATATAAAAATGACTAAATTAAACACATTTAAAAAAATTATGGGCCAATTACGAAAAAATAAATAAATAACAACTAACAATGGAATATGTAAATATAAATTTAAGGACTAAATTGAATACATATAAAAGTGAAAGACTTAAAATTGAAATAAATTAAAAAACACAAAAGGATTAAATCGAAATAAATGAAAAATGTGAAGAAATAATGAAAAATATACTAACTTGCATTCATTTAAAAAAATTTAAAAATATAATATATATATATATAATATAAAATTATATATAAACTATATTTATATTATAAACTATATAATTATTATAAACTATATATATAAATTATATTTATGTGAACTATATATATAAACTATGTATATAAAATTATAAACTATATTTATATTATAAACTATATAATTATTATAAGCTATATATAAAAATTATGTTTATGTGAACTATATATATAAACTATATATGTATAAACTATAAAAAGTATATAGTTTATAAAATATTATTTATATTAATATAGTATAGTATATATATAAACTATATATGTATAAACTATATAAAATATATAGTTTATATGTTATAATTTATATTAATATAGTATATATATGTATGTATTAGTCTATTTAGGGTTTAGGATTTCTATAAACTATATACTTTATTACTTTATATAGTTTATGCACAGTGTTTCTATAAACTATACAAGTAATTTACTTCATATAGTTTATATATATATATATATATATATATAGGTATATGTATATTTATAGTTTATATATACTATACATGGTTTATACATATATTAGGGTTTATTGTTTATGGTATAGGGTTTAGGGTTTATTGTTTATGGTTTAAGGTTTATATAAACTATATATTTTAATACTTTATATAGTTTATGCATAGTGTTTCTATAAATTGCATCGAATTGAAAATTTAAGAAGATATTTACAATTAAACCATGACTAAAATGAAATAAATTAAAAATCAAATATAATTGGAAAAATGATGATTGTTGGAGGAGCATGAGCCTAATTAACCCAAAATATCTTGTTGGGCACTATATTTGGCGCCAACTTCCCAAATTTTCTATTCCCTCTAAATTTCCCAATTTTCCTCTAAATTCCCAATTTCCCTACATTCTCAAAATTTCCTAATTTCTCTCTAAATTCCCAAATAAAATCAAAAAATTTCACACAAAAATATTTCTTTTAAAAAGTTTTCTCCCACCACTCCCTTTGAATAATATATATATATATATATAATTAAACATAAGTGACTAAAATAAAAGATTCTAAAATTAACATTAACATTTAATAATTATGCACATTAAAGAAAGAAGGGAAAATTAAAAATAAATAGAATTTATATATAGGACGTTAATGAAGCTTGGAGTCTTCTTGGAGAAGACAATATCTTGGCCATTGGATCTACTTTTGATCCAAGGGTTAGAATTTGTTGGTACCTTTAGCCATGGATCAGTGACATCACACCACCTAAAAAGTTAGGTCAATATTTAGTGTTTTGTCTCCTTTCAAAAACCAAAGTCAAATTTTTCCCCTCCTACACCACAAAAATCGGCGACTAGGAGTAGTTTAGGGTTTTTTTTATTAAATGCATATATTTGTAATACATGTAGGCTAATTATTAAATGTTAATGTTAATTTTAGAATATTTTATTTTAGTCACTTATGTTTAATTATATATATATATATATATTATTCAAAGTGAGTGGTGGGAGAAAACTTTTTAAAAGAAAGATTTTTGTGTGAATTTTTTTTATTTTATTTGGGAATTTAGAGGGAAAAATTTGGGAAGTTGGCGCCAAATATAGTGTCCAACAAGATATTTTGGGTTAAATAGGCTCATGCTCCTCCAACAATCATCATTTTTCCACTTGTATTTGATTTTTAATTTCTTTCATTTTAGTCATGGTTTAATTGTAAATATCTTCTTAAATTTTCAATTCGATGCAATTTATAGAAACACTATTCATAAACTATATAAAGTAATAAAGTATATAGTTTATATAAATGTTATAGTTTATATTTATATTATTTTTCATTTATGTTCTAATTGTTAGATAATTTTTTGTACAAAAATTAAACGGTATAGCTTATATTTATATTTTAGAGAATTAATCACATTTAATACTAATATTCATTTATTATCAAATTAATTATTATTTTATTGCCAAAATTATTTTTATTATTAATGTAAACCATTAATATATATTACATAATAAATACTTTTATTATTAATATTATTTTTTCTTTATATAAATTAAACTATATAATTTATATAAATTAAACTATATTAATTTTCCTTTGCATTATTAATAATGTTTTTATCTAATTTATATTTAAATAATTTTATTAATTTTATTAAATAATTTTATATAATAGGTCTATTTATTTATATAATTATCATAATAAATATTTTATTATAACATTTAAAAAGTAATCATATTAATATTTTAATTAGATCATAAGTTAAAAAACTGATAATTTATAAGATTTCCATGGTAATATATAAGTCAAATAAATATCAGATCAGGTCATTAATAAGTCGGATCATTTACAGGTCAGGTTAAAAACAGGTCAGACTAAAACATGTCAGGTTGAAAATGGGTCAGGTTGAAAACAGTCGGGTAATACCAGTTATTTACCAGGTCCATCTCGGGTTTGGGTTCATATCAGTCAGATGAAGTTCGGGTTCGGGTATCATATTTTCTGTTCAATTCGGGTTCAGGTCGGATGCAGGTCGGGTTCGGATCCACAATTTCCAAGTCCAAATCGGGTTCAGGTCAACACCAGTTCCGACTCAAGTCGGTTTCTGATCGCGACAATGTAGGTCAAAAATAATTTTGACTCGAGTCAATTTCAGTCAATTTTACAGGTCAGGGCAACTTTTTACAGCCCTACATGACACAATTGATGGAAGAGGAATGACACCATGACGTCACTCTTCTAGATACCATTTCCACGGACAATCCTACTGAACTACCCAAAGAATTTTATCACTAGCATGCATCCTCAACAACTGCGAAGGTAAATTTAAAAGAAAGGGAGCATTATCAACACCAAACTCACCACGACAGAAAAACACTCTTTGACTGCTCCTCAAAAATTAATAAGCCACATAGGTCAACAATCGTATGTTCAATAGAAACGAAAGTAGCTTACCGAATTGTTTTGTGGACTAGAATCTAGTTTAGATAAAATCAAATAATTAAATCTTTGTCTCTAGTTTAGACAAGGCTAATTAAGATCAAAATTATTTCTGGAACAAAGTTGGGAGGAGAACTTTCTCCTAGCATACTTTGGACCTCCCAAGCACTTCTAGTACATACAAGGATCAGGATTCTTCTTACTTCGATTTTAGACACGACGACTCTAGAGACTATTACTATTAGAAATTGGGTGTTTAACATCCTCCATCGTGATGCATTTATTATGTTGTCATAATGAGGATTAAATACGGATACGTATTTTTTTACATAATCATATATTTAGAAGGTTTTTAGAGGGCCATATCCTCGTACAAAAATGTCATATATGGTAGCAAACATAAATACTTCAGAAAAGGAAAAAGAACCCAAAGGAACATAGATATTGTCCATTGTTTATATCTAGAATTTCGACGTAAATAAGTAAAAATTTCAAACAAATCAAAGTATGCCTTCTCTACAAACAATGATTTCTAATTCGTCGTGAGAACATGATGATTTTAAATAAAATATATATATATATATATATATATATATATATTTTATGAAACTCCTCATACTCACGTAACGAGTACTTAATCTACTGTACTAAATGTAAAATATGCTTAAATAAATTTTCACCAGCCATAATTCTTTATTTCTTTATTTGTTTTTTCTGTCTGTAATGTTTCTCTAATTTTGCCAAGGATAAGTAGAAAAGAACAATTGGGCCATGGACCTCAAGCTTTTAATATAAACCATTATTTGTAGAATAAATTATCAACATGGGGCATGGGCTTTATGATAAAATGAAATGACATTTATTAAGCCATTTCAAATACGTTTGTTCTGGTTTTTTTCCCTTTTGGGGCAAATTCTCGTTTTACCACGGAAAATAGGCTTTGCTCTCTCCTTCGCTGACCGCCGTCACTCCCTCTTTGTTCCGCCGCGTCTTTCTGGTTCTCAGGCGCTACCCCTTTATACTTTTACTCACTCGCAGCTGATTCCACCGCCAGGTTCGGATATTTCTGTTTTCTTATAATAAATTTATTTCTTTTGCTTCTGTCTTTCTTGAAACTTGTTTAAAATGCTTATATTTTCCTTTTATTTTTTATGAACCCAGATTCCCCAATTTGGGTTTAAAAAAAAAGGAGAGTTCTGGGTTTTAGTTTAAATTAAACTTTGTTTAGAAAAATAATTTTGTTTCTTTTAAACCTTAGGACTGAACAATTATATCTTAATCAAAAAACACGATTTCTATACTTCAATCATAATGGAGTGCTCTTAACCTTTGATTTTGAGTTTGAATCTTATTGTTTTTTAATTGGACATTAAAATCTCTCTGTTTCTGTCTATATTACTTTGTTGATTTTCATAGTTATTCTATAATAAGCTTGTGTCTGGATTGTAGTTTTATTAAAGATGAAGAAAGGATTGCACCCTCAGATCCAATGGATATCTTATGTGACCCCAAGTGGTCGTTTAATTAACTTCATGATGACAAAAATACACAGTGTTGGTAAAGTTTATCACTTGAGGGCTAAACGTCAATTAGCTGCAACCGAAGGACAGATTGCTAAGTTCAACCGTCGCTACGGGCTGGAGAAGCCGGATGACACTGAGCACTCAGAGAAAAATTAAAAATAAATTATGGTTGTTTCTAATACAATGTTGAGTATTTGCAGTTCGATTTAAGCACCTATGTTGTTGAATAATATGAGCGTCAATAGTTAATCGAATGTCATTCGATCTTTTTTATAAGATAGTGTTTCAATTGTGGTTTGACGATCTTTCATTCAGTGTGTTGCTGCTTTAATATAGCTTATAAGAGTTCTTCACTTCTCGGAGTTTCATTCCTTCTTTCCCTTGAATTTTTCAATGATCATATCTTGTTCGGGCTTGATGTCAGTTTGGGATAACTATTAATATGTTGCAAGTGAGGCCTGAGATTGATTAACTTGTCTCCATCTTGTTTCATGCTTTTGATGAGACAATACATATATTTGGACGTCAGGTTCTTGGATCTTTGTGTTGTGTAGTGTACTTTGGAGTGTTGCTTGATTGGAAGTTAGTAGTAGTTCCTTTAATCTGCATTTTTTGGTCATCTGTTAGATGTATGCGTTCTTCTATGCACCAGTATCTTTACGGGTGGCTTATAAGTTGATATCTCGAGTTGAACTTTCTTGAAATATGTGATCCGGTTTTTGTTGAAAGTTGAAACTAGCCAGCTTTGTCGAGTTCTAGTTTGTATATCATGTAGACTTTTTGAGCTTCATCGAATCAGTGGGGTTATCATGTTTTGTTTCGGAAAAACCATTATCTAAAACCAAAGAGAGGTAAACCCTTCATTTCGATGAGTGCTAGATAGTTACTAGGGGTGCACAAAAAATCCGAATATCCGATTTTGCGAAAAAAATATCCGAAATCGGATTTGAGAAAAACCGGTTTTTTTTTAACCGGATCGGATTTTTTTAAATCGGTTATTTTAACCGGTTTAGAGAAAAAAAAACCTATACCGGTTTTTTTACCGGATAAAAACCCGGTTTGAAAAAAATCGGTTAAAAAACCGGTTTTTATCCGAAAAAAAAATCGGTCTTGGTTTAAAAAACTAGCCGTTAATATAGCTGTTGGGGGGGGGGATTTTGTGACCGTTTTTGACCGTTTTTTTCTTTAAAAAATTACCATTTTACCACCCTAAACATGTATAAATAAGTTGGAGATGTATTTGGTTGATTACAAATTTCTCAAATCTTATTACACAACACTTAAACATCTCTCAAATCTTATTTTTGTAATTTTTTTGTTTATCATGAGTAACACGGCTGAATCTTCCGTCGGGGGAAACCTTGAAGTCGTGAGAGTGATCGAACACACTCGAAACAAAGACATTTGGGATCACTACGATTTATGTGAGATGTCAAATGGCTCGAGGAGGGCGCGTTGTAAACTTTGTCTAAAGTTTCTTGCATCGGAAGGAAACACAACGTTGAAGAACCATTTGACAAAATCATGCAAGGCACTTCGCTCAAGATCGGATCCTAGTCAATCGAATCTTACACCGCAAGGTGGTGTTTTTGTTTACGACAGCGAAAAATTACGAGAAACGTTTACAAAGTTCGTGATTACAAAAGCATTGCCGTTCGACCACTTTGATGATGAAGATTTCACGACAACAATTCAACAACTAATGCAACCACGTTATACTCAAGTAAGTCGTACTACCCTTAGAAGAGATACTATAAAAATGTGGCGTACGACGAGGGAAAAAATGATTTTAGGATTCCAAGAACACCGTTATGGTGTGTCGCTTACATGTGACGTTTGGAGTTCCCCTCATAATACCGGAAATTCTTTTTTAGCCGTTACGTCACATTGGTTAGATCAAGATAATTGGCAAATGATGAAAAGAACAATCGCGTTTGAATTATTCGGTGAGCCGCATACCGGTGCTAATTTATTTACACTTTTAAAAAGGGTAATTTGTCTTTATAAATTAGAAAATAAAGTTTTTTCTATATCATTTGATAATGCATCGAATAATACAAACGCGGTTCCAAGATTAAAAATATTACTTTCACCGATTTTAGACGGTGTGTTTTTTCATATACGTTGCGTTGCACACATAATTAATTTATCCGTGCAAGCCGGTTTGGAGGTTATTGAGCCGATTAGATTAGAATTTAAAACAATGATAAAATCGGTTCTTTGTAACAACAACAAAAGACTAAATGATTATAAACGATTTTGTAAGTCCGTTAATAAAAAAGCTTTGGGTCCTAATTTGGATTGTCCAACTCGTTGGAACTCAACTTGGATGATGATGCATACTGCCTTAAGGCAAAGGGAAACATTGCAAACATTTCACGATCGGCTTTTCGAGAGGGGTCATGTCCCAAACATTTATCCGGATTCGAGTTGGGAAACTATAGCCAAAATAACCGATTTGCTTGAGGTTTTTAAAAATGCAACAACTTTTTTATCCGGTGTTTATTACCCTACTAGCCTGTTGGTTCTTAATCAAATATTTTTGTTGGCTACCCGACTAAATGACTTTGAATTTGAAACCGAAGTTTTTCAAGAAATTGGCTTTGCAATGAAGGAAAAACTTTTAAAATATTTTAAGGAGATTCCCCCCATTTTTACTTGTGCCGCCGCTTTAAACCCAACATTAAATGTTGGTGGGGTTGAAACACTAATTGAACAAATTGCGTTTGTTTTTAATCTAACCGATGATGAACCCAACTTTGTCCAAAACCAAATAAATTATTTTAACAAATGTTTTCGAGACATGTTTGTAATTTATTTAACTAAATACGGATCAAGTAGTGTAATACACGATTAAATGAGAATGAATGCGGAATCATCTAGTAGACGTCCAAGAATGAATGCGGAATCATCTAGTAGACGTCCAAGTAACATAAATTTGAATCTTTTTAACACTCTTGTAAATTCCCAATCCAAACGATCACGTACTACCACCCCAAGTAGCGAGTTGGGAAATTACATGTCATGCGATTTTCTATCAAAAATGACATTTGAAGAGTTTGAAAGTTTGGATATTTTGGCTTGGTGGAAAGAAAATGAAGCACAATTTCCGATTCTAGCCGCCATGGCCCGTGATTTACTAACCGTCCAAACTTCTACGGTAGCTTCGGAATCCGTTTTTTCTGTTAGTGGCAGGGTTATATCGCAACGGAGATCAAGACTAAGTCCCGAGTCGGTGGAAGTATGCATTTGTTTAAAGGATTATTTGGATGGAGCGGCTCGTAAGCAACATATCACCATCCTAGAAGATGCAATTGATGCCGATTTGGAAGCAAACTTACACATTGAAGAAGTCGAACTTGGAATATCCCCTCCAAACGAAGAAGGCGAAGATGATGAAGAAGAGATGGCAATGTAGTTTATTTTATAACTTTATTTCAATTATCGTAAACTTTGTTTCAATTATCGAACTTGAAGTTTTTAAGTATTTGAATTTATCGAACTTGGAAGTTTTTAAGTATTTGAATTTATCAAACTTGGAAGTATTTAAGTATTTCAATTATGTTGAGTTAATTAAGTATTTCAATTAAGTATTTGAAATTATCGAACTTGAGGTTTGATGTTTTCTCTTTGATTCTCTCTTGATTCTAGTTGCTTTTGTCTTTGATCAATGGCTTCTAAGCTTGCTTAAATACACCTTGAATCACTTCTGAACGTTAGTGATAATTAATGAAGATAATATAGCGGTTTAAGTGTGAAAACATTTAATAAAAATGCTTGGAGCGTGGGGGAATCGGTACCCTCTCATAGGGAATCGGTTTCCTCTCATAGGGAATCGGTTCCCTAAGTGTAAAATTCAAATATTTCGATCGTTGAATAGGGGGAATCGGTACCCCCTATGGGGGAATCGGTTCCCTCCGAGCATTCTGGAAATCTCGGAGCCAAACCATTCAGTGAGGAATCGGTACCCCCTTGGGGAGGAATCGGTTCCCTATGAGCAATCTGGAATATTAAAATCAGTTTTTTTATAACCGGTTTTTTTTTAAAAAAACCGGTTTTTTTAAAACCGAAACCGGTTACACCAGTTAGGATATCCGGCCCTCCAAACCGGTTAGAAACCGAACCGGTTATTTTATAAACCGGTTTTTTTTCTATGGGAAAAAACCGGATCGGATAAAAACCGATCCGGATCGTATTGAAATCCGACAAATGTGCACATCTAATAGTTACCGTAAGATCCCCAAAGTTTTGTGAAAGAGAGTGGCCTTTTTACTCGTATATGTCTATGATCTTATTGATTTTGTGCATCTTGAAATGAGCTGTTTATCCAATGGATTGCTACTATATATTATATGTTGATTCTGGTTAGTGCGAGTAATATCGATGGCGAAAACTGATCCAAAGGGAAGCTATAAACGGCAATCCGTACTCATCATCATTTTCTTCCTCACTGTGGCTGATGATATTGAACACTCCCTGAGCCAGATATATACTGGTTAGGCCATGGATATGCAGACCGGAACATCCGACATATGCTTGAATGCAATGTTGTAGGAACAAGCCAACCGTTTAATGTTGTCTCCTCGACACAAACTAGCCTACCTTTCAATGTTGTTTCTACATTAACCGTCGTCGGCACAGCCTTTGCTACTATGGCCTTGTCCACTGCTCCCTTGCCGTTTCTGCCACCGTCTTGGCCCTTTAAATCGACTAGACGCCCTCCTCAGCCACTTCTTTAAATGTGAGATAATCTAAAATATGTTTAAGATCATGTCACAACTTTTGATGATAATATGATTAATCAAATTCTCTATACATTTCACTATCGAAATAAAATAAACAGTCAAAAGATTTTGATATTTTCGGATTTTAATTTTTAAATTGTGTAATATGATTTTCTCAGATTTCCTTATAAATTTTTCCCTGCAAAACAATGAAGATATTAAAACGCGTTTTTGTATAGGAAAAGGACATGAAGAGGTTAGCCCGTGGCGTTTGGTTCGCATGAATCTCTTGGAATTAAGGAGAATTGGAAACCAATTCCACCACTTTTTCATGTTTTGTTCAAGTTTTTCAAGAGAATTAGAATCCCTCATGACTTCAACTTTTCATCAAACGAGGGAAAGTGAATTACATCCATTCTATGATGAAATTCAATTCCCTTGTTGGAGGGAATTAAAATTTGACCATATTACCCTCATCAATCTTTTGGTAACTTATTTATATATTGAATAAAAATATTTTTTTATTATTTTGGGTCGGGTCGG